TATACAAGGAAACCTTTCTTTATTATGAACATATGAGTCACTTTTCATGACTTTTCTTTCATAGGCATATTAACCACCTTTGTAATTTTAAGGGACCAAGAATCTATCTTTTGATCCCCCTTGAGTCTATTCTCATCTTTTAAATTAAGCTTTCAATTTATTTGGTAGACTACAAATTTTGATTTTATATTCACTATTTACTCCCTTCTTTAGCATCAAGAAAATGTTAGACTTCGAACACAACACACTAACAAGAAATCATCTACCTAGGTCATGTTCAATTGATTACTTTAGCCTTTTTTCTTTAGGATATCATTTCTTTACCTTAAAATGATGATTTGAACGCAACTAAAAAACAAGGGAAAAAAAGCATATTGAAATTTCTCATTTTGTTCCAAGATTTGTAGTACTTGTTACTTACTACTTGACCTTATACATGTTGCACTCCAATCGATCAAACTTTGCCCTTGCGTAGTTAAGTATGTAAGTATATGGATGAGGTTCAATAACAAAGAAAATTAACATATTCTTTCCTCACCTAATCATTTGAGGTTGTAGTCAACCTCAATCTTTCTTATTTGTATGTAACTAAGTGAACACTTTTTTATTTCTTTTCCTTTCCTTTTGTGGTTGTTAACTCGACTAAAAAATTGTTAGACTTCACTTCTTGCTAGCCTGCCTAGTAGAAAAGGTCTAATAGATCGTGATGTTATAACTCATGAATAAATAACATAAAATATGTTTAAATGGAAAATTGTAACATGACTTTTTTATTATTTTACTTTCAATTAATTGACAATTCATTTTTCAAATTAATAATGTCTTATTATCCATTTAACTTAAGAAGAGAAACCAAATGATGTGTATTTGACATATCACTATTTATTAAATCAAAAGTTTCTTGAAAAAATTATATGACTTTAAAATTATTTATTTGACATATCATATGTTTTGTCATTGTAAATTGAATATATATAGAGACAATGATAGATTTTCTTAGGAGTCTGAAGGGGTCATGACTCCCCCAAAGTTTTGTAACTCTCATGTAATTTATAATTTTGGCCCCCCAAACTTAATAATCATTTAATATATTTACGTGTATATTTACAATTTTATTCTTTCATTACTTCTAACTCTCATATAATTTATGATTTTGTCCCCTCAAACTTAATGATCATTTAATATATTTATTTATACATTTACAATTTTATCCTCTCACATTTTATCCCCTCAAACATAATATTATTTATTAATAATATATTATTTGACCCCCAAAATCAATGGTCAAGATCCGTCATCTGTATAGAGAACGAGAAAAAGAGAGACAAAGTCAAAAATTTTAAAAGAGAGGTCTAACCTATAAAAATTAATATCATATAAAAATAAATATATTATATAAAATACTTAAGAACATCTTCAACATTACTAATTGAATTTAAATTTTAAAAATTAGAGTTTATTTTTCATTTATCCTTTCTTTCTCCTAAAAAATGAGCCTATAATTTTCATTTTTAGATATCTTTAAAACTCAATCTGAATTTTTTTTTTTTACATTTTTACATCAAAAAAAGTATCATAAAATATTAAAATAACTAACTAATTAATAACAAATAAAGATAATTATATCAATATTTTTTATTTTTATACTACATACACATGTTAATATGTTATAATAATAAATAAAAACAATAAGAAAAAATAATTTTTTTACTACTATTTTACTTCAATATATTATTGTGGAATATCTTGTTTATTTTTTTAATTTCTTGTCTTATGTCTTCAATGTGAATAGAAAAAAAAACTAAATATAAAAATATTAGAATTTTTATACTATAAAAACAAAATTGTAAAAAGAAAAAAAATTTGAAACTAAATAAAAAACTAACAAATTTTACATGGTAAGGTGAAAAGAAAAAAATATGAAAGTGAATGAATGGTAAAAAAATAAAAAAATGTGAAAAGACAAAAAAAATATGAATCATTCAATCGTTAATCACTTTTATAAAATTTGACATATAAACGATCATCTTTTTGAATTTCCTGTCTTTCTTCGTGGAAAGGAAACTCTTACATACTTTACGGAAAAATTTTAACATAATTAATCAATCAATCAATATAGAAATTCATACAATTTTGTCCAATATATAGTAGTAAAAATTCTAATCACTAGTGTAGAAAGAAGTTTTTAAATATGTTATTTTGACATTTTTACGTTAAACATAAATCCAACGTTAATACGAGATATGTAAATTTATGCTAAATATAATAATCGACGTCAATTACGAGAGAATTGACGTCAATTTACGCTAGAAAAAGCATGAAATAGACATAAAATAATTTCAAAAATTATAAAAAGATGAAATTTACGTTGGTGCGTCAATACCCAATGTAAATTTTGTCATTTTTTTAATATTAGATTTGTTTTGTCTTACAACCAAAACCTACAAGCATATTTTAATGACATATAGTTCAGATTTTTAATAGTTAGTAATTCAAAAATACAACAATACAATATAATACAAACTATAAAAATTAAACTTGTACAACGAGTAAACTTCTTAAAAGCTAAACATTACAAAGTTAAACTAATGCAAAGACTAAACTAGTGCAAAAATTAAGTTACTTAAATCTTAAATTACATTATACAATACAATATAATGCAAACAATAACCTACAAATTAAGTATTAGAAATGTTGAACGAAAAACATTATTCATTACTTTATAATTTTTGTAATATCATGTTCTCATAATAGAGATGAATATTGAAATATCTGAAATATTAATTTGACTTATGTTAACATGCAACACACATAAAGATAAATCAACTTAACAAATTTTGAAAACAATTACCTTCATCCAAAAATCAATTATACTTGCACAAATTATGACTCTCATCCAATACATGATATAGTAGCCACATTCAAAGGAGTTTGTTTGCTTATTACACTGAATTGAGAAATAAAATATAATATTATTTTTAAAATTTAAATACAAACAATAATTATAGTGTTTATTTATATAAATAAGTTTCTAACTTTAGGATAAATGAATTCTAGGTCTTTCACTTAAAACATTAGTTCCAAACATGATTCTAATTGAAATAAAGTAAGATATTATTTAATATATATTTACACTTTCAAAAACTTTGTAACAAACTTTAAAAAAGATAAAGTTACCCTTGTAAAAACACTTTTTGACTTGATTTTGTATAATGAACAAAACTACACCACAATGTAATCTCTGGACATTATTACAATTAACCGTCAATGAGATCTACATTATATGACATAAAAATTAGTTCTAAAATTAACCTAGTGAAAAAAATACAAATTAAAATACTAGTCCTTCAATGTGTGGAGCCAAGAATATATGTATTTATGAGTCACTCGTCTATGTTTGCATATATTGTTGGATTTTGACATTTGTATTTCCAGATTTTTAGATGGATTGAGACTCAATAAATTCATATACCTCATATTTTTCTTACTCCACACTCAATTTGTTAATATACCTAACAAAATGAATTACAAGTTAAATATAGTTATTATAATGTTAGAAACATAAATGAAAATGACTTACATGACCCACAATTGTATAACTTTTAACAATACCATAGACAAACAAGTGATCACATATATCACAAATTTATGATGAATTTGATTTGAACAAATAACGCATGAACAATAATATGTCCTTTGATACTTTTTCTTTGATATGACATGCATTCATCCAACTCCAATCCATATATACCTATGTTATAAATTTTTGTCACTCCTAGATATTCAAATACAAATTGATTTTTAAAAAATAAATAATATAAAAAAAATGTGGGATTCAAACAACTAAACTGAGAAAACATAAAAATGCAGTGTATAAACCGTAAATGCACTAAAATGAATAAACAAATAATCACAAACTACAACAGTTTAATTTCAATAACAATCTGTGATCAAGTCCCCGTAAACAATCATGGTTTCAATTTGAATCTAAAATAGGAGACAAAGAACACTAACCTCAAATATACAAAAAACATTCTAAAATTCGAATTCAATAAGAAAGAAACGTCAATCACCACAAATGGGAGATATTATAGGTGTTTTTGTTGCTCACTTTGATAGAAATGTACCTTGGGAGGAACTCAAAAACCCTTGTGCGTAAGAAGAAGAAACATTCCTCTGTGAGATTAAAATGCGACTTTTACGTTAGACCGACGTAAAAGTCGCTTTTTACTTCAATCCATGTGAGGCCCAATATAAAAGTCATGTCCCTATTTTTACAAAATTGTTACCACACTTTTTTTTAAATGGTTTTTTTTTTCTACGAAAATTGAATGACGTAGAAAGCTTTTTCTGTATGACTTGAATTAATTTAATTTATGTTAGGAGAAAGATACACACTCTTCAATTTTTAAGTTATATTTGTGAGAATTTAAAGTAAATAAAATGAGTTTTGCTTTTTATTTTATAAGTCAATTTTTTTTTTTCTTGGGTGAATCTTTACTAATTAGTACATTTGAATGAATTTTACTCCTTACTTTTGAATGGTGATGTTTCTCGTTAATTTGATTTATTTATAAAAATTTCGATTTTGATATGTTGAACAGATGAATTGGATTTTATTATTTAATACGATTTTTGGGTTTCTTTTTTCTAAAAAAAGTGTTTTTTAATAAAAAAAAAACTTTTTGATATTTTTGTCTGATTTGACCAGATTTTTCAATAAACAAATTAATCTTAAATAAGTGATTATCATTTTAGATATATTTATTTCAAGTTTAAACCAAATCGGTCGAATAATGTAGTGCTGTTTGATGCCAAAGCCAAGCATATATGACAAAAAGCCAGTAGATCACTATCCATTCATGGTTCACTCTTGGCCACGAATTCAACGAGCCTAATCCTTTACCAAATCCAACTAGTTAGAAACTGCGATACCCTATCGTTTTAATTTTCGATCCTCTCTTTCCAGTGATCGCATAACGTAGTTTTGGTTGTAGAAAATGAATCCAATTAAGGACTCAAAGTTGGTTTGCACTTTTATACTGCTAAATTTTTGTTTCTTCAGTTCTATTGCATCTGATAATCTCCCTTGTCCTCCAAAATCCGCTACCCCACCTTCCTCTGCACCGCAAAAATGCCCCGTTGATACGCTCAAGTTTGGTGTTTGTGGAAGTTGGTTAGGGTTGGTAAGAGAAAGCATTGGGACTAAGCCAAGCGAGAAGTGTTGCACCGTGGTGAAAGGTCTCGCTGATCTCGAAGCAGCACTGTGTCTGTGCACTGCTATTAAAGCCAATGTGTTGGGACCTGTCAAGCTCAAAGTGCCTGTTGCTGTTAGTTTGCTGATTAATGCATGTGGGAAGAAGGTTCCATCTGGATTTGTCTGTGCTTAGAGTTTATAAATACTGTGTCTGTCTTTTCGGTATCTGTCATTGTTGCTTTCAGTTTAACTTAAACAGCTGCGTGGACTTTTGTTTGGGGATACTTGAAGTTGACATGGCTCTCTCTTTGAACTTGTTGAACTGAAAATTTTATCAATATAGTATTCAGATCATTAATTTCCCTCAAATTTATGTTATCATGTTAAGAATTTTAAAGCATATCTGAATAAGAAATTTCTGTTGTACGCTGCAATCTGTGATGAAACAAATACTAGATGCTGTTGGGTGTCTTTTGTTCATGCTGGAAGCCAGTAAAATAATTATTGTTGTATCACGTTATTTAGTATTCAAGTAATTACATAAAAAAGGCATTAATAAAGTACCCATATCACAATCAGACCCACCTCCTAATCATCACCATTACAACAAGTCGTAATATCACACCAAATGATCTAACATAAGCATCATAGATCGGATATTTTCTGATATTGCCTCTTCCTGTAAAACAATAACGACTAATCGTCCAAAAATAAGAGTTAACGATACATCATATCCACTAATTAATCCACTATAATACGAGTTAATAAAGCATCATTTTCATTGGCATAGGTTGTTCTAAAAGCTTCCTAGCTCCTCGAAGGATGTATAGAGCATTAAAATTAAGGATGTTTCGTTAGAAACCGTTATAGCAATGAGACGAGGCACTAGAGATTTTGTCACTTGATTTTTGGTTTATTAAGTATAGTAAGTTGCGGATCTTCTTCGGAGCCCAGGGGTCGTGGTCCCCGTAAAGTTTTGTAACTCCCATGTAATTTATGAACATTTAATATATTTACTTGTATATTTACAATTTTATCCTCTCAGTCTCTCCTCAATTTTGTATCTCTCATATTTATGATTTTGTCTCCCTCGACTTAATGATCATTTAATATATTTAAGTATATATCTACAATTTTATCCTTTTATCTTTTACATCTTCTTTCTTCCTTTTATATTTATTTATTATTTATTAATAATATATTATTTGACCTCCCAATATCAATGGTCAAAATCCGTCAACTTAATAAAAATGTAGGAATATTTTATTAGTTGACGTGGAATGATATATATCTATAAATGAAAAATTTATATAAAAATGAATATAATAATAATTTCATAAATATGTTAATATATATTATATTGATAATGATTAAAAATGATATATATATATATATATATATATTAGTGCTTATATCATTGTTGAGAGACATTATATTCTTTCAGAAGAAAAGAAGTCAATTAAGAACCTCTCAATGTATAAGATGAAATCTCTTTATCAGATGGTGTCATTTGGTTTTTTAAGGTTACGTTGCGCCATAATTGAATGAATCATATAAGATATCGATAAAATCAACGAATCCATAAAATCAACAAATTAATGTATGAGGCCAAACAAACTAAATGTTTCCCGAGTCAAGTGTAGTAAGAAGTGTAACCTGAATTTGACTTTAAACAAAAAATGTGAGAACTTAGCAAGGCTACATGTTCCACCTCAATAATAGTTGTTGTCGAGTCTTCGTAGTTTTTATTTATAATAAAGTGAATATATGTTTTATGATTTAGTCGCATCGTTGTCTAGGTCCACGTTGGTCTTGAAGAGCAAAACATATATTTTTACTGAAGCACTTCAATATTATGATAATAGCCACGTTCATTTGGTCGGAGATCTTGAACTCCTTGGAAGCTGAAGAACACGTAAACACTAATGCAAAATAGAGTATTGATAAGGTTTTTTTCCAATAGTCATTTAGACCTGTAGTTGAAGACGACGCGATGATATTTTTAGAATTATAATCAACTATATAATGACGATTATTCAATAATTGTTAGTGTATAACACCTACAATGATGATTACGGAATATTCATCGTCAAATGTTGAATACAATAGCTATTCAACAATGGATATTTAATAATCGTCGTTGTATGTATCATATGATGACGGTTATTATTAATAATTATCGTTGTATTTTCTATACCCTATTTCTACTTATAGAAAAAATCTACCTATATACCTTGAACAAGTTTGGTAACCAAATTTAGTTGTTTTTATAGATAATTATATTATAATTATGTTTTTATGTTTTAACTAAGGGCATATGTTATTAATGTTTGTGATTATACCTTTAGAAGAGTCTTGAAACATTATCCATACTATCTATGCTAATGTCGTCTTTTGAACAAGACTTGAGTCTTCTAAATAAGGGAATAAGTTTGTTGCGTACTCAATAGAAAAAGCATCCTTGTAAGGACCAACAAAAAGCATGTGATTTTTTAGCCATAGTGAAGAGGAGAAGTACCTGAGAGCTCACTAGTTTGAGAAACTTTTCTTCTTGATTATATTTCGAAAAACATTTATGGTCATTGATCTCAACAAGCTTAATCATGAAAGGATTTAAGAGAATGTTGGTTAAAGTTGTAGTAGAGTTAAAGATTGTTGCAAGATTATGTAGAGGAAGGACAAAGATAATGAGAAAGAGAAAACAAATGTCGATTAGTACGTGACAAGATTCAAAGAATGTTATTATTAAAGAATCAAATAATTAAATTTTCACATTTAAAGAAATATGGTCTATTTCAAGCATATCCTTGATTTTTCATTGTATAATAATATATTTGATGACAACATTTTGGTCAGCACAAAATACTGATAAAAAATAATAAATAAATTATTAAACTAATATAGTTTAACTAACCCGTGTCAAATCTGACAATGATACAATTATAGAAATATATTTATTATCACACATCATTTTCTCTAAAAATGGTACATAATAGTAAATATGGGGGTTGATGAAAGAGTAAAAAAATAATAATTGATGTAGAATAATAAAAACTAAAAGTGAATTGCAGTAAAATATTAATGATAATTAAAATTAAATTGAAGATAAATTTAAATAATTGAAATTTATAAAATTAAAAGAAATTGTTTTGAATTAAAAGTAAAAATAAAAATTATTTTAAAATAAAATAGTACAAGTAATTTAATTAAAATTTCCGGAAGTGATAACTTTAAAACTAAATTGAGAATTGGAATTGGAAAAGAGATTAATTGAAAATAAAAATTAAGTAGTATTAGAATAAAATAAAAATTATAAATATTAAATAGAAAAAAATTAAAATGAACACTAAATAAATAAAGTAAATAGAACAATATAAACTAGAAAATTTTACTTTTATTTTCTGAATTCAACTTTTCAAAATCAATAGTTAACTCACTAAATTTTTCAATTTTAGTTGTAAAAATCTAAATCCCATTCTAAGGACATGTATTAAAATATATTCAATTTTTATTTTCTTTTTATACAAGCTAGATTTGGGGTTTTAGGGATTTAGAGGTATAAAATTTAATTGAAATAGAAATCAAAGAGTAAAATCTAAAATAAAAAAATACAGAAATAGATTAATGTTCAGTTTCAACAATCAAACAATCATCTTATTGTATTTCTCTAAAGATTTCAATTCAAGTTTGAACAATTAACTGAATCAATTAATTAACCAAATTGATTATATGAATTAAATATCTATATGTTCAATCTAATTCATATTTAATTATCCTTTCAAGAATCAATTAATTCCTAATTTTATTTCTTAAATAAGAATCACAAATTGATATCACAAAATGCAAAATTAAAATTAGAGGAAAAAAAATCGAAGTGAGAAATGATAGGTGCAAAACTCAATTTAGGTTGTTTGATATTGATTCCTAAATTAATCTTCAAGATTTAGTTCTCTATGAATGAAGAATACAAACTAGATATAGAAAAGAAAAGAAGAAGAGAAAAAAAAAGAGAGCGAAAAGAGAAGATGTAAAGACACTTATGAGAGCGAAAAGAGAAGATGTAAAAGCACTTTCTAAATTCAAAATATAATAAAATGATTTATGAATTTGAGTTTAAATCTTATTAGTCTATTTAAAGGCTCTCAAATTTAAAGCAAACACAAGCCTAAATGTGGGCTCTATTTAAGTTCATAAGCCCAATTACAAAAATTTAGCTAAAACAAAGAAATTTAATCAACATGGGTTGATTTACATAATCTTTTATAAATTTACCTCAACTTCTAAAAATCGTAAAAAAATAGCAAATAAATTCAAACCCAACAAAACATATATCCATTTGAAATCCTATGAAATGTAGAATCCAATGCAACTTGAATGAGTAAAAAATAATATTTATAAAAAAAGTTATAGTCAAAATAGTGACAAAGATCAAATGAGCTAAAAATACAAAATTAAAGTAAATATGTATGTTAAACCGAATTTATTATTAATGAAAAAAATAGTCTAAAATTGAAAAATAAATTATATTAAAAATTCGTTTACAGTAAAACAAAATTATAAATATGTGTAAAAAATATAAGTTATTAATCATCAAACAAAGGTTAGTTTGTTCAACAAACTCTTCATCAATTGATGAGTTGTTTGACGTCTCTATACATTGGCATTAAGAACAAGTGACTTCTTCCTTTTTATAGGTACATCTTATAGTAGTTCCTTCTCATGAACCTTTAATATACCCACCAACTCTTCTAGTGATAGGTTGTACAAGTTCTTGGACATTTCAAGTGTTACTCCACTTTGTAGGAAAACTTCTCAAGATTTTGTCTATATGGTTGTATAAATAATAATTGTACCAAAAAATTGTCATTCATTTAATATTATTTGAATTTATTGAACATAACTTGTATATTTTCATATTAGCTCATGCTAAACATTTTGTATTGTCTAGTAAGTAAATTTAGTTTTACATTTTACCTTTATGAAGCCCTCATACATTCCTATAAGAATGTCTCATATTTCTTTGCTTCTTTATATGCATGGACCTAGTTGTACTCTTCTTCACATAATGCACACATGAGAGTTTTTCTAGACTTTGAATTTAGCAAATATATTTGTTTTTGTTTCTCACGCCAAAGATTCATTAGTAAAGGATTTGTAGACTCATCTCGAGGAATGTAATTTCCATTCTAGACG